TATATATATATATATATATATGTACTTAATTGGAATATTTGATTGAGAACTGCAACTTATTAAATAATTATACTTTTTTTTGTATATGATTAAGTCGATTGGATTATATGCCATTAGCAGCAATTGTATTACAATCATACAAATATTATTAAGACAATTGGTGAATTAAATTATATTAATTGCAAGTTTGAATACTTCAATACGTAACGTCATATTATCAAAATCATAGATTTTCAATATGAAACTGAAAACTCGGACGAGGAAAATTTTTATGTCAATTTAAAAAATGAAGAATTGTCTAACAATGAAACGAATGAAATGTCTGAAGAAAAAACTGGAACGATTGCAATGAAGTGAGATTTCTTCTTTGCCGTCTTGTTGTGTTTTCTCACGTTATTTAAATTGCTCGCAAAATTGAATTTTGCAACTTGAAAAATAATTTTAATTAGTTCAGATTACAAAACGGATAAAAATAAGAAAAGTAAGGAAAATAACTCTTCGAGGGATTCACCAAGCATGACGGAGTTCAAAACATTATTGGCGAATGTAAGATATGTTTAGCATATTATGGAAAACTTTCGCGATTGTATGAGAAATAGCAAAAGCGTGTTATTTGTAAATTATCGAGATTCCGGACGTATTCAGGATATTTCGTTGCTCGAAGGATCAAGCAGCACGATCCGCGATATGGACGAGATTCTCTCGGACAGAAACTGGGAGAGGTATAAGCAGAGGAGTCTGCTGACTTTTGCCAGTACATTTAATAATTTATTACATCTGTATTCATGTATGCTGATTGAATAGCTCGGTATTGAATTAGTGGTCCAAAAACACTTGCAGGAGCTAACTCGTTAAATGTGGAAACGCAGGATTACCAAAATGGCATCTCTATTTGCGTATGGGACTGTTCCATTAGTTATATTTAGATGTTCCACAAAGAGTGCTGGATTACAAACACAAATTTTCTGTATAATAAAAAAAGCTATTGAGTATATTTTATACTGTTTAGTTATTTAACGCTGTAAATTAAATAGCTATAGTAAATTGAGCTTCTGAGTTTAATTTAAAAAAAAATTTTAATTAAATTTTATTCAAATTTCTGATTTTATTGTTTAATGCAAAAAATAAAAATTTGCGAAATAAGCTAACAGAATTTTCATCGAAGATGTATCATCCATAATTTATAGAAAATTATTTTATCACAATAAATTATCATACGACGCATTTTAATAATACTTGATGTAAAATAATTAGTACATTGTACACCAGCACGTTTCTGATGGAAAAGCATACCTAAAAATATTTTCGTTAAAAGTATATCAATTTTTAAATGTACGTGACATTGTATGAAAATTAATCCAATGCAATTCTGATTTAAATACTCTCTTTTCAGCGCAATGAAAAGGATGCGATAATCATAGAAATAGTGAGTATGCAATTTTTCGACGACAGTTGCGTGATGCAGGACGATCAGATACATTTACTTTACGTAGAATATTCTTTCCTCGAGAAACGTGGCGAAGATATGGAGACCATTTCCATGAAAAAACCAAAAACAAGTGCTCAAGAAATGGTCTTCAATTATAAGAAAAGTATATCTTTATGCGTAACAACAAATATTTAGATTAATATTATAAATTAATAAAAAAACGTGTCTTCAAATATGATGTAAATTATAAATGAGAAAAATCATTCAGAAAGTATGTAACGTAAGTACAATAGTTTCGTAATTTTAGAATTTTGGATAAATGAAATAACACATCCCGTGCAAAGACAAAATTTGCGCGCCATGTTAGCCGAAGACATAAGTCCGAATATCAATTTTACTGTTATTAGTGAACCATTACCCGAGGAAAGGGAAGTTAAAGATTGCGAGGAAGTGGGGCAAGTATAATAATCTAATAAATCTATTTTATTTGGAATGTTCATAATATTATTGCAAATATATAGAAATTTATATCTATTACTTCGTGTTTCCTCTTACAATAATCTTCAATTTTATAGAATTGTATGTGTGATTTGAGATTTAATATTTAATAGCTAATTTCTATTCACATTTCTTTTAGTTATGCAACTTTTGATATAAAACAATATGCGCTTGGTGATGAGAGAAAATATATATTATTGCCGATCAAAGATAATCAAAATAGAGAAATTGGGACACTGAAGGTAATATACATTATCTCCTCTTTGTTAATAATTATTAAATTTAAATTTATTACAGATCTCTGTGTCTAGTATGAATGCTATTCAACAATGTTTACCAAAATTAAGATAGATCGATTGCATTTGGTACAAATAACAATATAAGAGACAAATATTACATGCATTTAGATTATTAGAAGATCGAATGAAATCGAAAGATCAATGTCTTCTGATTCAAGAGAAGAATTCAATTTCTAATCATATTTATTCAAAGTTTATTCAAAATTGTCCACATTTTTCTAATATATTAAATTATGTTATAACATCAAATTAATAAAAAGTATTGACATATTTATTAATTTTTCTTGAGTTTATATAAATTATTATTGGTTTACAGACTTTGTTTCTGAACTTTTTTATCGTTTTTAGCGTTTCTTTACATTTTCGTTGAGATATTTAAGTCTTTTCCTTTTCTACTTTGTATTGATGCAGCGTGTTATTTGGTTGCAATGTGCTATTTTGTTGAACTATATTATTCGTCGAGATTTCAGCGGTTCTATTATTCATATACAATTTCTTGTTATCTTTTTGAAGTAATTGGACGATTTCTTGATGTTGTTTTTTCATCTCTGATGACAGTTTAGTTCGGCGAAATATATCGTTGTAGATATTTGTAGCTATCTGAAACTCTCTGCAATCCTGTGGGCTACGGGCAATTGACCAAACACCCACTATCGTGTCGATACCCTGGCATACTCGACACATACCTGTGTATATTATTATAGATCTTTTTTAAAATTTTTGACTGATTCCTCGCGTGTAATATTTATCAAATGCGAAAAAATTAATTTACTCTGTCGCTTATCGTACCTGCGAACACCGCCAGAGATTTCGTGCGATTGTCAATGGCAAGTAAAGAAAACGGTCCACCTTTCCTAAAAGGTGCATATCCGGTTAAATTCCAGGCGGGATTCAATAAACTTTGATGAGCGGGCGGAGGTAATAATTTTGCGAGCGTCACGTTTATTATGCGATTAGTAACTTTCATGTCGATTCGTACTCCACCCTGAATAGTTATCCATGAACCCGATATCTTGCAAGGCAAACCTATGTTGGAAAAGCATTATTTTGTTTTAACATTAAGCTCTCTTAGACTGGCCACACTCGTTCAACTTGTTAAGTGACTTACTTAGACTTAAATTGTAGACGTAAGTAACGCATAAGCTTTCACATATGACGTGCAATTTATTACTGTGTCTCCAAGAGACGGTAATAAATCGTACGTCATATGCCAAAGCTTGTCGTTTCTTACGATTGTGTCTAAGTAATTCTTATGCTCAGACTCTATACTTGCGCAAGTGCAAGTTTATTTGAACGTATATGGCTGACCTTGGACTTCCAAAATAATAAATTTTAATATAATTTTAATTTTATTAATAAGATACAGATATATTGGCTAATTGAAATTTCTTAAAGAAAATTTATTGATATTTAAATGCAAGAATTAATTAAATGTCGAATTTAAAGTAAATTAATAAAATTAAGATTGCAATAACCTTCTGTCTGTTCATTTTCAGTGGCTCGATTTGATTTAATTTCTTCCAATTCGTCAATAATCTTTTCCAATATCTGATTGGCAACTTCCTTGGTTTCGTTTAACGTCGCAGAAACATTCGCACGTTGTATTTCTTCCGTTGTCTTTATTGAAATCACAGATGTAAGATTATCATGCATTTGGTCGTTCATTGGTTTGTTATTTGTATTATCATCACTTTGGAATTGTCCATGAATAATTTGAATCGCTTTCTGTTTTTCCTCAATTAATCCTTGTTTCTTACCATTGTTATACCAACTCTGTTTGATATTATTTTCTCGATCAGGAATCAAGACATGTTCTATTGGTCGATCGACAGTTGATTGAGAAAATACTGGAGCGTGATTGATAATTTTGTGTATGACTTGATTCGTGGAAATAACAGGTAAACGTGCTATTGCAGGTCCAAAATCGTTCTCAGCGATGTAGACATTCGAAGTTCCCGGAATTTTGCGAAGGATGTGCGGCACATCCATTGAAGTACCAGAATAGAGCACTTGCACTTCTTGAGGTTTGCTCATTTCTGGTATAATACTTAAATTTGAATATAGACGAGGAACTTTTAAATCCTGATATTGTAGCACATTAGGAATATGTTCAACTTTGATTTGCGGACCAAGAATGATATCCGCACTGGTAGTGAGAACTTTCGCGAAATCAGAATTGACAAAATTTTCAGTAGGAGATTCCATTTCATTGATGTATATGCTTTCTTTAGGTCGATTAATGTTCGATATTTGAAACTGATAATCCTTCTGTGTTATCTTGGGAATGTACAGATTTCCTGAATCGGTTTTCTGATCGATCAGTATCGGCAAGTACGTAGATGCGTAATCGACAGCGTTATCTTCATTTGTTTGACCGATCACAGAATGATCGATCTCCCAAGGTTTTAACAATTCGTAATTGTAAGTTAAATCTTTATCATACGAATCTCTGTCTGTGAATTGCTGTTTGAATCGTGAACGATTGATTAATGGTTTGCTGGCAAAGACAGAATCATTTGAGATTTGCCTAGCGATTCTGTCATTTTCAATCTCTGTTTCATCTTTTGATTGCATTTTAATTGGTTCGACATTGTCGTTATTATAATATTCCGAAGATACGAATCCATGATTCCTGGAATCTTTTTTAAAATTTTTTTTTCGTATTAAGCGTTTAATCTTCTTATTTGGCATTTCACTAATTTTTTGATGTCTTTGTCTTGAGTGACTGTCTTTTTCACTTACAAAGTTTCGTTCAGCAATATTATTTTTAATTATTTTATTCACAGTATTTTGATTTGTCCCATCAATATTAACAGGTAGATTTATTTTTTGTCGTTTCTTCTATAGAATAAATATTACTAATTAAATTAATATTTAAATAGAAAAATAATAAGATCTTTCTTTTATTCACCTTAATATGATTTTGCTTGCGTAACCAAGGATGTGCTTCATACCGTTTTAATCCATGTTTATTTCTCTTTTTTTTTCTCTTTTCATTACGATTTAATAATTCATTCAGTTTTCTCGTATTTACTATTGGTTTACGTATACTTTTCATTCTATCTACCAATAAATCTTTCATATTAGAATTCTGTACAGTCCCGCTTAGATTTGCCAATTTCTTTATATTACGTTGTAATTGCGGCGATTCAAGAGCTTCCTTCGCTAATTTCTGTGCTAAGAATTTAATTTTTTTTCGTTCAGAATTGAACGTAGCCTCTAAATCTATATTTTTGTCAAATCTTTCATTAGAAACTTGCTCGTCTAAATTCGATCTTTTCACTATCGTTTCCTTTTTACATTTATTATTGTCTTGTATGCGGAAAAAATCCTTTGCAGGCGGAATAATTGATTGCACAGCAGACACGTCATTGCAAATTATTCTGAGTAGTAATGATATTATCATGACGAACCTGATCACACATAAGGAAAAGCTGTTGTTGTACATATATCGTATCGCAATAAAATTTGGCAATACCTTAGATATCAAAGATGTGTACGATGCCAAGAATACCTGTAGTGTTTGCTTGTATTTCTTGGTATCATTTACAAAGCATTTGCTATTCTAATAAGAAAATTCCTCCTTCCTTTCTCCTGTTTTTTATTTAAGATTTATTTATTAATTGTAGCTCAAACTTTACGATCCCGCAGTTCATCGGCGAAACCGAGAAATTGCACAATTCTTTGAGTCCCTCGTAATTACATCGATAGATGTGTAGATGCCTTCATTAGAATAAGGCATTCGCGACAAAATGAGATTGACGAGAAGAAAGCAACATTTACGTGTCGATTTATCGCTCGCAAATTTTTATCTACATATTGGATTTAACTTTGTTTTGTGTTCAGAGTTAGTACAATTCAAATCTTTAAAAATTATGATTTAAAAAATAGAAGTGTATATATATATATATATATATAATTTTTCATCATTTTCAACATTGCCAAACTTTAGTTTGTTCGTCAAAATTTTATATCATGTTAAAAATGTTGTTAATCACTACAATTTTTTAGGATAATTAAAATTTTTGTTATGACGTTAAATTTGCAACGTTGTATTACATATTATAACAGATTCGATACGCAAATAGATCTCATCTACTCTCAATTTAAAAGCCGCGTAATCACGAAATACGTCATAATTGATCAGAGGCAAAGAAATCGCAGTCAGTATAACGTTGCTAACCGTATCTTGGTATCGATTTAGATCCGTGAAGAGAAATCCCTGGAGAGACGTGCAGGCATCGATTATTATTAGAAGCGGCCGAAACTCGGCCAATTGACCGCGCTACGAATTAGCACATGCAAACCCCATAACAATGATTTCGTAGCAGTTGTTCTCATTTTAGTTTGTTAGAACAAGAATGAACAAGAATTTATTACATAAAAAATAAAAAAACATTTTATAAGTAGAAGAATAGATTTTATCAAAGAGAAAGAAAGTTTTTACGTTACTTTATTTTTAAAAATTATTTTTTGAAAATTATTTAAGGAATAAAAAAAATAGTAAATAAATTAGAAAATATTAATAATATTAAGATTAATACTAAAAGATTTAAAAAATATTTCATCAATTATTCATGATTTTTTAAATTAATGCAATAACAATAAGTTGTATGGATATTTTTAGAAAAGAACACTAGAAGAAATGTAATTAATAATATTTTAATGTACTTGAACATATATTGTATATACTAACGTGCACACACTGCTTAACTCACACTTTACAATTACTGCAGAAGAAAATCTAATTGAGTAACGACTACATCAATTCAGGTGTAGTTCAATTTAAAAATAGGAGGGAATTTTATCGTCCTGTAGAATTAATGTAATGTTTGAAGAACTGAATTGGTATAACGATTAAGGAGAAAAATTTAAGAAAGCAATTCGGAGCATCATGTCGAAGAGATTATCGATGGCGATGAAGAGGTAGAGAAGAGAAGAAGAAGAAACTGCATTCGGGCATCGGGACGCGTTGTCGCTGGCATTGGTAGCAGTCTCGAGATAGCCGTCGGCTGGCTTCCTCACTGGCTCGGGCGATTTATTCGGGGATTC